CTGGTTAGAATATTTCCTGGTAAGCCACTGCCACATGGCAATATATAGATTAGTAGAAATGAGTTAAATTACAATGTAAGAATTAGTCAATAAGAAACTAGAGCTGATGGAGGAAGGTCATTGGCTAATAAAGGAACTGCCTTGGCCCATTTTATTGGTTAGAAGTTAGGTGGGAGGAGTAAACAGAACAGAACTCTGGGAGGAAGAGGAAGTGAGGTCAGATTCAACAGCTCTGCTCTTGGGAGCAGACGCCTGAGAGACACGCCATGCCCCGCTCCCGGGATGAAGCTCCGACCCAGGATGGACATAGGCTAGAATCTTCCTGGTAAGCGCACCTTGGGGTGCCATACACAAATGATTAGAAATGGGCTAAATTAATATGTGAGAATTAGCCTAGAAGAGAATGGGCCAAGCAGTGTTTAAAAGAATACAGTGTCCGTGTAATTATTTCGGGGCATTAGCTAGCCGGGCAGGCGGCTGGGATGTTGGGGACGCAGCCCCGCCGCCGCCCTTATTACTTCATAGAGCTAATGGGCCAAGCACTGTTTTAATTAATACAATTTCTATGTGGTTATTTCGGGTGTAAGCTAGTGGCCCTCCACTTCTACAACAGTGATACCCACATAAAAAGCCACTCTGAGAGCTCACTGATTCTGGACTGATAGCTGGTGAACCAGAATAGGACCAAATTAAACACACCGCATGTGGGGGTCAGTAGTGAGACTCAGGAAGTCTGTGGTACCACTGGCAGTAGACCAGGATTTATCCCTAGTGCTTAACCTGGCATCTAGGAGTTCATCCTTTTTTGGAGGGATACCTTTGTGAGGTGGGATGTATGTAATTGGGTTCCATAGTGTACATGATGAGGCCAGGGGACAACCGTAAGGGCCAGTCCTCCTCTTTCACCAGGTTTGAAACAGGGTCTCGTTTTTGTACCTGCCTAAGCCAGGTTAAGCCTGTGAGCTGGGGAACTTCCTGTCTCTACATGCCAACTCAGTGTAGGGATGCAGATCCTACTGATTTTATATAGGTTCTGGACACCAGAGCTCAGTACCTAATGTCTGCTTGAGAAATGCTTTAACCCACTGAGCAATCTTTCCAGTCCTGTATGCTATTGATAAGGATTCAGCTTATAAGAACTGATTGCCCATTTACTCCTTTGCCCTCCTTTAACTCCTCACACAGTTAAAAATTGCATAGATAGCCACTTAGTACACAGGCCCAAGGAAGGCACCAAGACATGCCAAGTGGGATAAACGATTTCGTTATGCCCCGGTCCCATGCCTACGTTCTGGCTTCATTAATCTACTGATGCTTACTTCCAGGTCATTAATGAAACCTTGAGAAAAAGGAGTTTCAACGTATTTCTCACGGAACCCTCAAAATGACAGAATGTCTTTATTCCTAGCACAGGTCTTAAGGGTGACAAGAAGTGAGGTGGATGTACTAATTAGGAGTCAACAAATGGGTGAAGTGGCAAAAATAAAAAAAAGCAATGAGACACAGGGTGCAAGTTCCTGTAAGACACAGAGGAGAGTTATTTTTGTAACTGTTACACGACACAGCACAAACTGTGAGTTATTAACGCTTTAAAGCCATTTTACATTTTGTTGATGGGACTATCAGTTGTTTATTTACTCTCCTAGTATCCTTTATCTGTTGTGATTAAAAACGCTCCAGCCAATAGCAACTTTGGGGAAGAAGTGGTTTATACTTCCAGGTCATAAGCCATCACTGAGGGAAGTCAGGGAAAGAATGTAAGGCAAAACCCGTAACGGGGCTCTGCTTGCTGCCTTGCCCACTGGCCGCCGTACACGAGACAATCTCTGTGGGGATGCTGCAGTCCGTATGGGCTGCACTGTCCTGCATCAATTATCAAGAGAGACAATCCTCCACAAACCTGTCCACACTTTACTAGATTTTCCTCTCAGATGGCAAGTTTCCAGTTAAACTAGGAAATGTAAATGCTAGACATTGAGCCCCCCGGTTTGCACATGCTAGATGAGCATCCCCACCCCAGCCCATAGCCTCAGCTCATCATTTCATAGTTTAATACTCAGCACTCATTTGGATGTTGTTTCTCCAATAAATTAAAATAGATTGAATTTTATTTGTAGTAAAGATATTTCAATACAAGTTTTCAGGAAAGCCGATGGCTCATTCTACATTAATAATGTTAGTTAGATTGTTCCAAAGTATGCATTACCTGCTCGTGTCAAATTTATTTTTCTTAACTTCCCCTCTTTGGAACATAAGCAAATTTGAACATCTTCCTTTGAGTCAGAGACTATGCTAATGTTCTCAAATGCTATCTTAACTCTTCTGGGATGTGAGGTTCTGGTTGTCTTTCTCCTGTCTTAGAAAAAAATGCTAAGTGGAAGAAATCCCTGGGTATTTGTAATTTCCAAATTATACGCACACACTGTGAACTATATAACATATGGATATTTAATTATGAAAGGTTGTTCTTTTAAATGATAAAGAAACAAAATAAAATACAACTAACAACAGACCTTCTGAGACCAGTGTAAATAGCTCATATATTATAAACTCTACCCAAAGGCAGTGCTATGTAAATTTAATTTATAGGCCCTGAATGCCTCCCATGTTAGCTACTCAAAAGTGCTATACTTATATATTCAAGAATCCAGAGGCAATGTTCACCTTGAAAATGTAATATTAAAAAGACACTGCCATTAGTGACTTTATGTTCTCCTGAAAACCCTTCTTGAATTTGAAATAATGGATAAGTTGGTGTAATAACTTCTTTCTCTTTCAAATTTTATGACTAAAATATTGAGTTGTGTTTTATGGCCTTGATTTATTAGATTCTGTAGAATAAGTTGTCTGCTGTAGGCAAAGAAGACCTCAAGAAACTGGAATGAAGCTGATGCTCACAAGTCCGAAGTTTAAAATGAGTGATCATGGATTCATGAGTTTCCAAAGGCTGGACATTGAACTGAATACCATGTGTCATGTAATTTGTAAGCCGACTTACCATGCCTCTCTAACATAACAGTCATCTGTGTGTTCATGCGTGTCCACAATGAATCTCATGTTCGAGTACAGGCTATGATTATTGCTGAAAATTTCATTTCCTTTGGGGAAGTTTGCACAGGAATCTTTCACAGCTTATGAGCGAATTGAGTTCTGAGGGACTCTAAAGGAATCCTACTAATTACTTTCAATTTCTGTGAGTAAAACAGAAAGAGGAAGCCGTAAACAGTGGTAAGGCCCCTAAGACCCATGTCTGTGAGAGGATACCAAGACCATGGAACAAAACTTAGCTTCTTTAGTCTATTTTCTTTTTAAATTGGGCATTTTTTCCTTTTTCCTGGGACTGGGGATTGAACTCGCTGTCAACTACATGCTAGGTTAAGTGTCCTAACAATAAGCTGTCATCCCTATGTCTATTTTTTTTTCACTTTTGATTTGAAACATGGTCTCTCTAATTTCATCTGGATAGACCTTGGAATCCTGTTGCCTTGATCTCCCCAGTAGCTGGTTTGTACCACTAGGCCTGGCATAGATTCACGTTTTAACAGAATATAGTTCTTGATGACGTGCTTAATTGGAATGATGACTTGGTTTCTACAGAACAAGATGAAATGGGTAAGATTCTGATTGGTTCTCCTGTTGTGAGCAACTTCGTTTTTATAAGACCTAGAAAGTCCTAGAACTATTTAGAGTCAGCATGGTCAAATTGGGTTTCTTTGTTTCCAGCAGGTAGATTGAATGTCCTGAGCTATCAGTGTAAGCGTTTTGAAAACTGTGATGTGATTTTTTTATTAGCTAAGTGCACATACCAATCCTGCTTATGTTTCACGATGAGATAAATGCCCCAGTCTGCCTGCGTGGTTCTTGTTAACTGATGATTTCAGAGTTGACCTAAAAACATCCAGGACAGGGACTGTCTTTAAAATGAACCTGGCGTAAGCAGATCTTCCTTCATCTTAAACATTCATTCCCCATAATTGATGGTGATGACGACAACCCAGTCAGGGCATCGCGAAAATTATGCATTACTGATTCTTCTCAGAAATAATGCATTTTCCTTAGAATTCAGGTCAAGAGAGGAAACAAAATTATCACTTATGCATAACCTCAATTCCATACCCCCTCTCATTACATGGAAGAAACAAACGCACCATGGATTTCTTAGAAGTGGTTTAGAGTTATTATGTTTGTCTAACTTCTCCAGTTACGGTCTTTTGTTGGCCTCGAAGATGTAATTTTAAAATGTAACTGATGTATTTCTGCCATCATTACGAGAAATACACATAGCAAAATGAATGCATACTCATTTCAGCCTGTAAGATTTGTTTTTAAATTATTCCATTTGAAGCCAGAGGAAACATATGAGATCATTTCTTTTCCTCTGCCAACAAAGTGATTTCCCCATCCCACGAGGACAGTCAAGTGAGTTTCAGGGCTCCAGCTTGCTTCCTATCATCTATGAAGGCAGGCTAGTCTCCCTGATGGCAGAAGTCTCAGTAGGTAGCCCTGGAGAGATTGTGCCTATTTTTGCAAAGAACATTGTGTCTGCAACCTGAGCTCATTCTGTAGGCTAAAAAGTGAGCAGGACTTAGCAGAGTGCATGCCCTGCTGTTTGCTGTCCTTGGAGTGTGTAAGCGCTGTATTCTTTCTCCACGTGCATTTCAAGTTCTGGGACACACATGCACACAGATGTGCACACGTGCCCAACGACCGTCCCCAAGCCTCAGGCCAGGACAAGTCCCCAGCACTCCCACGCCGGCTCCTCCGCCTATCCCCACCCACCCGGGCTCCACGTGGGCGCACCCAGGCGCCAGGCAGCCGCGCGGCCCACGGAGAGCAGGGCCTGCCCGGAGCAGAGAGGGAAGGCGCGGCCCGGGGCGGGACAGACAAAGCTGGCGTCCAATGGAGCCCAGCATTGGCTCCCCGAAAGGAGGGAGCGGAGGCTCGTGCGGGCCCAATGAGCTGGGAGCCCGAGTGGGACTTCCTCCCGGAATCCCGTTGGCCATGATTAGCGGGGCCGTGGGTGACACGTAAGTTGGGTGGGAGGTGGCGGACCGCTGGAACTGCCAGATCAGTGACACCGGCCCACCGGCCCCCTCCTAACCCGACCAGAGCAACCTGTCCCCATCTCTCCACCCTCCGAGGAGGATCTTGCGCGGGGACGCCTCGGGGAACCAGGTCCCTTTGTTGGGCGCGCGTCCCCTACCCGTGGTAGCGACAAAGTCCAGCCACGGGAGCCGGCGCGAGGGGCGGGGACAGACGGTGGGGACGGCGAGGCCAAGAAGTGTGGAGCAAGGAAAGCAGGGTAGGCTGCGCGTGGGGACCGGCGGCAAGGGCAAGCGGGCTCTGAAGTATGCAAAGGGACCCCACGCGGGCCCAGCCACTCGCGGAGATTTGACGTCCCAGAAGTTTGGTGGCCGCTGCCCGGGTGGCGTCGATGGCCTGGCGCCCCGCCGTACGCGGGGGCTGAGCAGCCGCCTCTTCCCCTCCGGCCCCGCTTTTGTGTCTTGCGTCTTCTGCTCATGCCGAGTCCGGCTACTTCCCGCGGTGGCCGCTGCTGAGCCGCCCGACTCAGCCGAGGACCGAGGACACGACGGCGCCCGCCGCCGCCGCAGCGCGGGGCGCAGGAGGGACTATGGGAAACGGGATGTGCTCCCGAAAGCAGAAGCGGATCTTCCAGACGCTGCTGCTTCTCACGGTGATCTTCGGCTTCCTTTATGGCGCGATGCTCTACTTGGAACTGCAGACCCAGCTGCGCAAAGCTGAGGCGGTGGCGCTCAAGTACCAGCAGCACCAAGACTCACTCTCTGCCCAGTTGCAAGGTACAGTACAGTTAAGGGGACGCGCGTGGCCAACTTCGCTCCGAGCTAGTGCTGGGCTGGGAAAGTAGCTTGGCTTGGCAGGTACCACCCAGTGACCTTCCGGAACAACAACCCGGGGCTGCTGGCCTCTGGGTGTGTTGTGGAGAGGTGACATCCCGGTTTTCCTTCTTCCTCCCAGGAGTTCTTTTTGAAAAAACCCACAGCACTAACCCATGGTCCTGCCTGGCTTGGGGGGTGGGGGGGGAGGGATGTGTGCATACAAGACAGGGTATTTTACCAGAAGCACTTGTCAAAGGCCCAGCTGCATTCTGGGCAAATAGCCCTCCTGCCACATCTGCCAACTCTTTCCCAAGAGGCAAGCTCTGGTTTGTAGATATGGAGAGTTGCACACACAATTGCTAACTGGTTCTCCTTTTCAAGAAAAATAAAGGGGGGGGGGGGCAGTGCACTAGTGGCCGGTGAATGGGACTGGCTATCTAGTATTGTTATTATTATGCTGGTTTAATAGGTAATTTGAGAAACGTTGGGCGTGATGGAAAAGTCCACACTTTAAAAGGGTGTCTTCCTTCGGAGGCCTTTAGGTGATCACAGAGCTCTGTGTGTGGGTATGCTTGGATGCACACGTGTGTTTTTACAGTTAGCTTGGGGAAGTCGGATAGAAGAAACATAGCATTTCACTTTGCCAGCCTCGGAAGACACCACTTGAGCAAGGCGTCCGAAGCTTGGATCCTTCTCTTTTAAAAATCCCATCGAATGCGAATTCTCACGGCCCAAATGATTCGTGAGTGAGTGCATGATTCGTGAATGAGTGCGTGCCAGCTCTTTGGGACTCTGGAGAGGACATACTACTCATTGTATATGTTATTATAAATGCTTTTGCCTGTCCCGCTGGTTTGTTTTCAGCCCTTATGGAACTCTCTCTCCAACACAAAGGAAGCGAGAAATAAGCACCCTACCTAATCAGTCAAATGATGACCGTCCCTGTTGATAGTACAAATATTGGATCTTCCTGGGCGGATAAGCCAGAGGGGTCTTTCTGACGGTGGATGTGTCTGCACACACAAAACAGATGCCTTTGCCTTAATCCAGCTGTGCAGAGCGTTTTCTAGTAAGACTTTTAAGATAGGGGAAAATGATATGCAGCTCTTTCCTTGGTCTGATTTGTTCTTCCAAACTTAGAAGAAAAGAAAGTATTTTTAGCTTCTTCAGCCTGCGCTGCCCCAGGCAAATGAAAATATGTGGCTGGGCTTCTTTCAAAAGGAAAACCTGTTTTGATACTTTCTTAGATTTTTTGTTTTTGTTTCTTTTTTTTTTTAAATTATAGGTATGGGAGTTTCTCTATGAGTTGTTGGTGTGAGAAGGGTCGATACTGGGCTTGTTTACTTAGAATGTGCCAGCGGTATTCCGGTGTGCTTCAGAGTGGTTGTGCGTGTGTTGACTCTCCATTTGCACACGGGAGAGATAGAGGTGGATATCAGGAAGTCTTCCTTAATCGAGTCTCTCTACTTTAGGATACAGGGTCCCTAACTGAATCTTAAATATCCGTTTTGGCTAGGTTGACTGACTAGCCAGCTAACACCACCCGGGTTATTTGTGTGTGTGTGTGTGTGTGTGTGTGTGTGCGCGTGTGCACGTGCACATGTGTGCACTCTCATGTGTGCGTATGTGTGTGCACCAGTGTATATGTATGTTCCTACGTTGAGGCCATAGATTGATGTTCAGTATGGTTTTTTTTTTTTTTTCACTCTCTTACTTTATTTCTTGAGACAGCCAGACTGTTTGTCTGGCCCTTGAGCTCCAAGGACTTTCTGTTTTCACCCTCCCAGCACCCAGATTGCAGTCATATACTACCATGTATACCACCATCCCTGGGTTTTTATGTGCGTCCTAGGGACTGAAACTGAGGTCCTCAGCGTGCATAGCAAGCAACCAAGTGACTGGCTGAGCTGTGCACCCAGTCCCTGAAATCTTTCTTAATTGGTGCATTTTGCCATTTCCTTTTGGCTGGCAGTGCAACAGTTGCCATGATTGTGGAGCAAGACATGAGTTCACAGGCCGGCTGAAGTTTCTGCTTTTTTTCAGAAGAGGATTCAGGCTTGCCGTTAGCAGCATCCTTTTCACATCTGCAGGCTATTTAATAACGAGCATCTTCTGATGGCACGCAGCTTTTGTTTTCCCTTCCCCAGGACAAGCGACATTTTATCTAGTGGTGCTGTGTAACCCTTCATACACAAACCTTTAGAGCATCTAATACCATTCTTTTCTGTTATATTTGCTTGTTTTTGACATCAATGTCTCCGTGTGGGTGTGCGTGAATGTGGAGGCTGTAGATTGATGCCAGCTGTCTTTTCTCATTTGCTCCCCACCTTTGCTTCTTGAGATGGGGTCTTTCCCCGATCCTGACACTTTATGACTGAGCTAGGCTGACTGGCTTCAGAGATCTGCTGGGCTCTCCTCCATAGCCACTGGGTTACATAGCAAAATGTAGGTCTCCAGGCTACACAGCAGGGACTTCACAGACTAAGCCACCTCTTGAACCGCCTCCTCCCACTTTTGCTTCTTAAGACTTGTTTGGTCAAGTGAGATCTCTTGATTTGGCTGGCATAAAGGTCAGAGTTAGTTTTGAGTGGTCTTCTTTTAAAACACAGCTTTTGAAAAAATTGAACTAAATATTTCTTTATCGAATGGTATGCATTTGTTAGGTGAGCATAGTTGGGTTATCTCCATTTGAAGAACAGGGTGTACTCCAGAGTCCTGTGAACAGAGATTACTATTTTTTATAATTGTCCCATAATTGGAGCTGGATGATGATATGGAAAGGCTAAGGGACCAGATGATCATCTCTGCAAAAAACCATGACAATGTCGTCTGCATCAACTTATCTATCTGTTGCTTGTCTTTTCTATCTATCTATCTATCTATCTATCTATCTATCTATCTATCTCCTATCATTTAGTTTTTATAATCTAAGTATCTCTCAATCATCTATGTATCTAACTTCCATATTAGCACCGTAATTATACCCAGTAAGAGTTCAGAGATCACATACTGGTTGCAGGAGCAGTAGCAACCTTTGTTCAGTGCACTGTTTACATAACATCTGAAAGGTTCTTCTTGCTGCTTTCAAGTGAGCCACATGCCACCCTGCTCTGCAAGCAGCCTGCCCCTGGCTAGACTGCCCATTTAGAGCACCTAGCAGCTCCCACATCAATTAAATCACATCTGTGGGGGCGGACCCAGGCTTCAACCAACCGCCTTTAAGGCTCCCTAGGTGATTCCAAAGGCAGCTATGGTTAAGAGCCTTGGCTTTCTAATCTTAAGGCTAAGCTACTTCAAACATCCTCTTCACTTGCTTGGCCCCAAGGGTGTTTTCATCGCTTATCCTGGGCATGTGATTAAAAGCAGACTGGTTTCTGGACTGTGTTCCAATTCTAGTTCTGCCGTGTGTGTGTGTGTGTGTGTGTGTGTGTGTGTGTGTGTGTGTGTGTGTGTGGAGTTGGGCCTAATTTTTCTTATTTATCAAGGGGAGAGTAGAGTGAGCCATTTTATCATAGTTATTGTGAAGATTAACCAAAATAATTCCCACGGAATTTTGAGTCTAAACCTGGAATACTGTAGAGCTGTGTGATCATCTGGTTCCCCCTTTGAGATAGATAATCCTTTTCTTGTTGGCCTCCCAGCTTGGTCCTAGGCTCAGTTTCGAGACTGGATGAGTTTCCTGTACAGTTATCTACCCTCCGTTGTTTCTAAGCAAGCATCAGGAAAGGAGATAAGCTGACATAAGTCAGTGCCTTTTAGCCTGGAGAGCGAATGGCTCCTCCTTGATGATGGAAGCAGAGAATTAGAATTTGGTTATTAATTAACCCTCTGCGCCACTTTAGACTGGCAGAGGTGTGCCGCTTCGGAGGTAATGACCTCATGTAGTAAGGTCGGGAAGAAAATGTAAGGAGCACACATCTGAGAATACTAAGTGTCCTCCCTGGCAACAGTGTGCCACACTGAAACATTAAGGACTGGTTACCAGTGAAGAAAATGTGCGCAATGTTTCACATACTCTAAATTCAAACAACTATGCTGTTATTATTTAGAAGAAAGGAGTTTGAGAGTTTCGTGCTTCTGAGAGTCCACCTTGTTACTTAAGTTTGCTGCCACCAGGACAACACCCTATCCTGTCCAGGAAAGTATCACATTGGGCCATGGCCTTTTTTTTTTTTTCCATGGCTCCTACATTTGCTTGAAAACAAAAGCCCTTCAGTTCAAGCTTGACCTCTTTAAAGTCCTTCCTCTTCCTTCCTGATGCCTGCCTGGCATATAGTTGGTCCTCGGGAGACATCAGGTGTATATCAACAGATGTTCTTAATAATGGCGAGTGGGGTACTGTTCCTTGATACTGGCAAGGGAGGCAGAGGACATCAATTCGTTGTGCTTTCTCCTCGCTGTGTGATCTTGGACAAGTAAGTGAACCTCTCCCTGGCACTGTTTCTTCTCATAGAGCTATCAAGATAACTGTCTCATAGGCCTCCATGTGGGCCAATACCTAGTGTGCTGTGCTGGAGGAGTGGAACTTGCATAGGAACTACCACTGAGGGCTTCTGGACTGAGTCCTTCACACGTCTTGATAACTCAGTCCTTAGGTGTGCAAGTATAGACAGTGTTTGGAAGGTATAATCATCGCCATGTGCCAAGTTGAGCCTTGTAACATCAATTAAACATGGCTCTGAAATAGCCATCTGTATCAAAGCATAGCTAACACCTAAAAAGACACGCTTTCCTTAATAATACTGACGTGGTTGCAGTGTGAAGTGGGCCTCTTGGGCTTGGGCGTCCAAACAGTTGCTTGTCAGGTGGCAGCGCTCTTGGCACGCTGTGAAACTTCCGGAGATAGAGCCTAACTGGACGTGGGTCATTGTGTGGAGGAGGTGAAGGTTATAGTCAACTCTGATGTCAAGACAGGGCTCCCTGCTTTATGGTTTGTGGCTATAAGGAGTCCCAGTTCTGCT